GGGCGCTTAGCAGGCCAAAGCACCTGCTGGCCCTGGCTGCTGTCTCAAGTGCTGGGGAGGGTGGGGTTTGTGGCCTAACAGATTACTACTAGTAAACCAAGGATGGAGTATGCCCAAGGCTTCCTGTTGTCGCTATGCAGTCGGTCTAACGGCCTGGAATGGCCGTCTGTCACTGTAGATGAGGTGCTGCTTTAGTTACAGTGGCCGTGATCACCTTCACAGGATCATGGACTCTGAGCAGCAGATGGGAGCTATAGGTCTGACCCCTCCCTCTGCTGCCCACTCAGAATTGCTGCTAATGCCCATCAGTTGGTTCCACTCGTGGGACAACCAAGCAAAACCCTTCCTGAAGCATTGTGTTGTTCTCCAGGGACTGGTCACTCTTGAGAACATGTCCAAGATAGGTGACAACCTAACTACGCTTCTCAGAAGTAGTCTGTGAAGTCGGCAGCCTGACGGCGTAATTCTGTCAGAATCAATTCGATGGCAGTGGGATTTGGGACTTTAGTGGTAGGGAATAAGGCCAGTAACGAAAACCTGGGTGTATACAAAAGCTTGGTCAGGGGAGGAAGGGGAGGTACCTTAAAGGAGTCTTCCTGTAAAAGTACCATCTGTGCATACTCTCTGCTCCCTTCGTTGAGTGCGCGAGCTGCCCGTTTTGTAGCGCATGCCCCTAGACTGTTGTGAGGGGCATGGACACCCTTTGGTTCCACCCGGTGTCCTCACTGTTGGCAGCTGGCCTTGGGCTGGAGACGGTGCTTCTCGGGACATGAAGCTGGTACAGCTGGCGCACTCTTTGAAGGTAAGTGCTAGCCATAGAGTGTGTGTGTTGGGCATTTTGATCAAGGTGGTGGCATTTTACTAGTCTCTCAGTGATTCTTAAAGGTTCATAGTAGTACTCTAGGTTGGACAAGGTAGTTCCAGGACTTCCCCTTGGTCCCTGTAGGGACACAAAAGGCTGCATTGACCTGGTGTCACCTTCAACTTTCACCTTCCCTGCTAATACCTTTATTAATCTTACCCAGGCGCACTAACCTCCGTGCAGTGGCATGCAAACTAAGTGGCTAGGTGGCCTGAGCCTGCTGCTGCTGTAGTCACAAGGTCAGCCGTTCAAATCCACCAGTTGCTCCGTGGGAGAACAAACAAGGCTGGGTACACCCCTGAAGACTTCAGTCTTAGAAACCCTAAAGAGCAGTGCTACTTTTCAGTAGGAACTGACCGTGGGGTGGTTTTTTAATCTTGCCTGTTAGGCTATTGTTTAAAACTTTAGTTGAAAATTCTTATGTGGTTAGAAAATAAGGTCTTATAAGCACCCGTCATTTGATGCAGACTGTGGCGGTGGTTTTTAAAACCACAGTGTGTGTTTATATAGCATTTGTAAGGCCAGTGCTCATCTGTTTTCAGCAGCTGTGTTCAAGGCCTTGTCTGGGGTTGGGCCTATCCCCCAAGGACCTTGGGGGCCCTCACTTCGGGTGGGGGGGTGGAGGGGCACGGGCTGGAATCAAAAGGTCCCTGGCCAGTCCCCACAAGTGCTTGTTGTGTACCCCGCCTCAAGTCCTTGGTCAAGGAAGGCCGCTTCCCTCCCTGAGAAGCAAGGTGTGTGCAAATGGATATGTGCCCCAGAGTACTAGCTAGGCCAGTGGTTTTCAACCTTCCTAATGCCGTGAGTGACCTTGCAGTACAGTTCCTCATGTTGTGGTGACCCCCCCCCAGCCATAGATTATTGTCGTTGCTACTTCATAACTGTCATTTTGCTACTCATGAATCCGGCGACCCCTGTGAAAGGGTCTTTAACCCCCCAAAGAGGTCGAGACCCACAGGTTGAGAATGGTTGGGCTAGGCCAAGGTGCTGTCTGCCAGGAGAAAAGGATTTCAGCAAAAACACTAGGTCTGCAAAGCAGAGAAGTCACCGGACAAAGTACTTTGTTGGTGGGACGCAGTGGAAATCAGCGCTTGGGTTTGTTATTCAGTGTTTATTAAGTAGATTCAGTCTTATATATGATATACAGATTCCAAAGAAAAAGGATTCCACATACTTATGAAATCAGTGCATTTAGCAAGTAATACCATGGAGATCACAGCTCGGCTAACAGCTCATTGGTCTTTGTTAAGTGACAGGGCGAGGGGGTGGCCTGTGCTAGTCATTCCACAAACAAAACAGAATTGAGTTGCATCACAGAGAGAAGACACATTCTAAGAATTAAAATATTAAGCCACGTGTACTTGGAAAAACTCACTCTATAGAACACATTATTTGAGAGAGCATTGAGGAGGAAGTCCTCAGCTGCTTAGGAGAGCCACGTTAAGTTGCATAGGTGCATATCTGTAAAAATAGAATTTAGAGGTGAGGCCATTGATTCAGTAATAAAGGGTCACCTTGAAAAGTTGGTGCCACCACCGTTTGCTTTAAGTGCCTTACGCTGGCTACAGTGTGGGGCCTTCGCCCCTCCCCAGAAGATTCGCTTGTGCTGGGCCCAACCCCCCACTGCCCCAGGGAAGTCTCACTTCTCTCAGGTGTGGGACACCTTTCCCAGAAGCCTCTCAATTCCACCAGCAGCTTGGTGACCTCTTGGGTTGTCCCTGAATCCCAGGTGACTTGGCTGTGAAGGCCGGTCCCAGGCAGCTCTGCCCTTCCTGCAGCGCCACAACCATGTCCCACCTGCACTGTTGCCACCCAGAGACCCCTGGGGGTCGAGTCTGACCCCTTCTCTACACGGACCCCACAAGAGAGGCGCACAGGCCACCTGACATGCAGAAAGGATTTCTGAGCTTAGAAAAAGGTTCTTCAAATTGGAGTTCTACGTGCTGTAGGCGATTTGTTTTAGGTGGAAACAGTAGGTAAAAAGAGAGGTTTGTTTTTGTGGCTATGCTAAGCAGATGAGTGGAGTGAGGTGCAGCTTCCTCCTCGGGAGCAGGTCTTGCAGAACACACAGGGATGGGGCATCTGTACATGTAAACAGTACACTTTCACTGAGTCCAAAATTAGGAGCAAAAATACAAAGGTTCACATTGGTCTTAGGTAGATACAGGCGAAAAAGGATGGAGCCGGCTGGCTCAGAAACAACAAAAACCAAGTTTCTAAAGCACCACTAAATGATATAAAAATGGACCATGGACGGATTGAAACTGGTGTTCTGGGGAGATACTTTACTATCTTGTAAAAAGTTTTACAAAAAATTACAAATGAAAAGTTTATCAACCCTCTGAGTTCAAAGCAGCATTTTGAAAATGGACTGGTTAGTTAAACCCGGTCACCACCCCTGGATTTGGAAGTGGCCCTCAGAAGGGTGGGGGTGGGAGGAGGGAGAAGGGGTGGGTGGGTCCTACCTGCCAGGGATCCTCCACCACCCTCCCACCTCCCCCTGCCTGTCCCCCTTTGTCATCCCTTTAAGGAGCAGTGAGGGGTGCACTGGGTTTCCGGTGGGTCACACACTATCAAGGCTCTCCTTGAAGACCACAGCCCCACTTCTCCTGGGCCAGCCCCTGCTCTTGCCTTTTCCCTTTGAATGTAGGAGCCCAACGGGTGGACTAAAGAGCTCACATAGCTGTGGGGCAAGACTTAGGAGGGCAGCACCCCCCCTGGGGGTGGGGGGTGCGGTGAGCAGGTGGGCTTCAACAGAGCCAGCGTGTCGCTGCTCTCTGAGTCAGGAGGGGGGAGGGGGCTGCACAGTCAACAACAAAAGTAAAACAAGTTCCCTGAACCAGCGAATGCAATCCTGTTTCCACACCAACAACTTGCTCCACTTTTGGGGAGCCTGCAGTGCCAGGGCTTGGGGATAGCTTCCCTGGAGGGAGCCATGGGGGCGGGGAGGGCAGAAAACGACATGCAGATCCAATGTCCTGGGGTGGCCATAGGGCCCAGGGCTGTTTCTCTACAAAGCCAAGGCCCTGCCCCGAGCTGCACCCTTGCATCAGCAGCCCCCCCGCAGCCAGCACAGCAGCTCCAACTAGACCACGGACTTCCAAGCCGCAGCCGCTGCCGCACTCTGAGCAATTGTCCCTTCTCACGCCTGTTTGCCAAGAAACGCAAGCCACGCATGTCACTTGGGTGCAGCCTCCAGGAGGAGAGACGATAGGGAGCGAGCGAGAACAAGAACTCTAAGGCGGCGATTGTCTCTGCCATTGGTTAACACGAGAGTCTCACAAATTGCCTGGGTTAACATTTTTCCAAATGATCTACTGATTACTCTGTCGTATTGTTCACACACAAAAATAAATATTTACACAAATTCAAATGTCTGGAGCGGTACAGCGCTGGAGAGGGTGTGGCGGGAGGCCTGGGCACTGGAGCTCAGGGTGTGGTCACATGGAAGGAAGGCAGGTGTGGCTAGGTGGGGTGTTAAGAGGCCACTTGAGAGAGACCACCCCCAGCCTCTAGGGGTGGAAGCAAGCATGGGGTGGGATGGCCCTGCCTTCCTAACTGCCTTCCGCAGTGAAGTCATGGATGCGAGGCAGGGTGGGGGCATCCACCTTTGAGTGTCTCTCCCCACACCTCCCCCGGGGCAGCTGACAATGGGCCCCAGCTCCCAAGGTCTCTGTTCAGAGAGAGGAAAGGCAACAGAGGGGTCCTGCCTTCTGGGCAGGGTGGGCAGCAGGGCTGCACTTGGTGGCTACTGCCGGGGGCGCAGCGGGGCTGGGGCCTGCTGAGGTCTGGGGAGCCCATGTTTTAGCAGCACTGGGAGGTATTGCACTGAGCGAGGAAGTGCCTATGGAGAGGGAGGAGGCCAGGCCAGCCTCGCCTTTTGCCCTTTTTCACACTCCAGGGGTGATGGGTTTGTTCCAGTCAGGTGCCTGGGGAAGGAGGGTTGGTCCTAGGCCCACCCAGGTGGCTTCTCTGCCTTGGTGGCAGATCCCTTTGTTCCAGTCTCAGGGGGCCAGGAGCGCCCCCAACTGCCAGATGTCAGCACTCACCCTGAAGAACAGGCCCTTTCCCGAGTTCATGGGGGGCAGGATGAGAGCAAGGGGCCTGCTCTCTGGCTCACCGCCCCCACTCCCCCCACTCTGTCCCCCAGAGCAGCTGAGAGGGCAGGGCAGGGGGCTTAAGGGGACTGGTTCCAAGGGCAAGATCCTGGGCCCCCAGTCTGGACTAAAGTCCCCAGCAGACAGACACTGTGCAGAGGGGTGGGGAGACAGCCGGTGGGAGCGGGCTCAGGCGCATCCTGGAAACAGCCCACGCTGGAGTGTGAGGTAGAATACGGTGGCCGTGGATTGGGGACTTCGGGAACATGGGGTGGGGGCCGCCTGGCTTGTTTTTGCTTTGCAGTGGGGGTGAGAGACCCTCCTGCCTGAGGGGTGGTGCCCTTGGTGCCCCCCAGCGGTCCAGCCTGCATCAGTGTAGTGCTATGGAATGTTAGGTCACAGGGACACACCCTTCGGATCAGACAGACACAGACTGGCAATCTGTACAAACACAAAAGAAATCCATTTTCAGAAAAATAAATTACTAAGGGTCGAGGGAAAGAGGGTCCACTTTTGCCTTTCTCAATAAATATGCAATTCTGCTCACCTAAGACTTGAAAGGTAATTATCGGGGGCAGGATTCTAACATCAGGGTCCACGAGAGTTTTTTCTAGATAGAGCTGTGGCCGGGTCAGCGCCGGCTTGGGCGGCCCCTCTGAAGCTGCCCATGTCCTCTTCCGAGCAGGTCAGAGCACCCGTGTGGCGAGATTCAAAAAAAACCCCCAAAAAACCAAAAAGTGTCCTTGTGCCCAAAGTCTCAGGTGCTTGGAGTGTGGCTAGAACAGCTTTTCAGGTCCCGCCTCTGTCCAGGACCACACGGGCCACCTGGCACAGAGGCCGGGGTGCCCCCGGGCACCCGAGGGCTGTCAGTTCTGCTGTAAGATGAGGTTCTCCAGCTCGTCTGCGGAGCGCAGGAGGAAGGCGGCCGACTCCCGGTAGCCGGCAATGAGCTGCCGCACGGCGCTGATCTCCGTGGGGCTGAGCTGGGCGGTGGGCATGGTCCTGCTGGTGCTGGTGCTGGAAGGCGTGGGGGTGGGCGTGGTGGAGGCTGTGGAGGCTCCGCCTTTCATGCTGAGGTCCGTGGGCCCTGTGGGAGGGGCGTGGGAGGGAGGGAAGGGACAGGCATGACGAGAGACCCTGGGGAAGATGGGGCATACCACCCTGTCCTGGGACCTGCTGAGGCCAGAAGGGGCCGAGGCCACAGGCCCTGCCTTCCCTCGGGGTTTTCTAATCCTCAGGACGTTTTCCTCTTGCCCAAGTCTGCAGGCATCGAGGAGGAGGTGGCCCTCCCCAGAACGCTGACCTCATAGCAAACCCTGTAATAGGCTTCCAAGACTACCACTCTCTGTGAGAGTAGAAAGCCCCGTCTTTCCTCCAAGTGTTGAAACCAGTAGGAAGGCGTGGGGCTGGGTGGCTGGAACAGCAGCCCAGAGTTTGAGACTCCCCTAAGGAAACCCTGGGACCAGAGCTGCTTCCCTCTGGGGCCATCTGGTATGGCCGCCCCCACAGTTCCCCTCTACCCTCCTCCCAGCCTTTCCACCTTTCCACCACTAGTGCTGGGAGCGCCTCACTCCTTCTCTGGGGGAAGCTAGAGCCCAGGAAGGAGGCTGTCCTGCTGCCAATCTGATCTGGAGCCATCCCCATGGCAGGCTCGGGTTCCTTAGGGCAGGGAGGCCAGGTGGCACAGTACCGCAGGCCAGGCTGGCAGGGCCCAATTCCATCTATACTGATGGCATCTCCATCTTACCCCATAATTGGCAGCCAGGAACTGAGGCCACGCCAGGTACCACCCAGGGGACTCAAATGGCCAGTTGGCTGCGGGGTGCTGTTGCTCTGAGAGGCACCAGTGCTTACCAGCCACAAGCTATCCTGGGGAGCTCACCACCCACCTCGATGGAAGCAGGGCTCCTAGGCTGAAACTGAGGCCTGGGACATGCAAGGACAGAGCCCCTCTGTGGGCAGGTGCACACAGGCCTCATCCCTTTGGAGAGGCTGGGGCCCGGGCAACTGCAGTCCCAGGACAGGACAGGCCGTGGGCATCAGGTGGAGGCTTCGTTACCACTTCCTGCTGGACTCCTGGGCTCCTGACACAGCCCTGTGCAGACTGGTGGGCGAGGCTGTCTGGAAAGAGAGACGCCCTGGGCCCTCTCCTCCACCTCTGAGATTAGTCCCAGCAGCTTCCCCTTGTAGGTTAAGAGGCATTAGGAAGGGATGAGAAGTTAAGCTGGCAGGACTCTCCCAGGACCTGACCTGCACCCTGGTTCTGGGGGCCTGATGAGCTTGGGGACGGGCCTTTCAGCCAAGGGCCAGGGCTTCTGAGGGGCTCTCGGACAAGCTCACCGAGCACAGACCCAGGTTTCCCGGCCAGGGCTGCACAGTGAGTGGGGCGTGCAGGGCTAAGGTAGTGCCCTGGGCCCTCATGAAACACCACTTCGTCTTGCAAATGAGGCCTGGAAAGGGGTGTCACCTGCCCAGAGTCGCTCTCCAGACAACTGCGCCACAGCAGGACCAGGCCAGGCCTGGCCACGTCCCAGCTCTGTCACCAATGCGGGGACCCAGGGCCAGCGACCCTCTCAATGAGGAGCAGAGGGGCAGTCTGAGCCTCTGCACTAGAGGCCTGGAGAGGACCAGGGCCAGTGAACTTGCTGTCTACGACAGCCTGCCATGACACAGGTCCCACGGGGAGGGGGACCCAGGAGGGCAGACAGTGCATGGCATAGTCCACCTCTGGGGACTAGCTAGGACCCCAGAACAGGGGGGCCCGGCCTCCCTGGCCAACTCCCCCATGGATAAGCACGAGGCCAGACTACCACTGCCCACTCACCATTACTGTGGTTTCCCGTTTGGAGGGCAGCGGGGGGCTGCAGGTTGCTACCCAAGGCTCCGTAACTGCGGTAGCTGTAGTTGAGGCCGCCGTTGACGTAGACGGGGTCCTGGGAGAAGGAGGAGGCTGGCAGTGAGTAGGTGGAGTGGGTGATGGCTGTGGAGTCCCGGGAGTGCTGCTTGTCCAGGGCTATGGGTTCATCCTGCGGAGGGGACAGGGTGGCACTGTGCGAGGGCGGTCGAAGGCTGTAGCCCAGGGCATCCAGGGAACTCCCATCTGCCACCTTGCCCCAACACCTCACCCTCCTGGGCCCTGGTGCACCAGGAGGCCCGACTCGCCCACCTGCCCCTTCTGCCTGGGTTCCCCTGCCCGCTCACACCCCTCGGGCACCTGCGAGGACTGGTAGATTTCCAGGCGCATCCGCTTGGCCGCTTTCCTTGTCTCGCTCTCGCAGGCCGCCGCCAGGATGTTCTCTGCCATGGCCGAGGTCAAGTGGGGAGGAGTGGGTCTGGTCTGGAGGCGCAGAGGGGAGCAGTTGGTGCTAGGGCTTTGGTGGTCCTGCCCCCGAGGCGAGGGGGCGAGCCGGGCTGACCAAGGGGATCTTTCTGGAAGTCGGTGTCCCTCCCATCCGTGCAGCTGCTTACAGACTCTGGTCAGGACTGGGGGTGCCCGGGGGCTGGGTGGCGACTCACCATCTCCATGCCGTTTTTCTTCATGCGACGGCAGGACTTGAGGTACGTGCGGATGCGCTTGCGTGCGCGCTCCTGGAACTCGGGGAACTGCCGGCTGCAGGACTCGATGATGGCTTGGATCTTCTCCTTGGGCTGCTTGGAGATGGGCACCATGCGGTCCAGGTTCTCGTCCACGAAGAGACGCACAAACATCTGCCGGGGGAGGGGCCATGTGCCTGTGAGGCCTCGCCCGGCCCCGCCCCTCCTGCCCAGCCCAGCCCTGCCCCCGACCCCCCTCGCTCCCCCTCCCCGCTCACGTTGAAGGCCTTGAGGCGCTCCGGGTCCATGCCCTCTGAGTCGTTCATCTTGTCGTTGTCTTCATGGTCGTCGTGGTCGTCGTCATCATCGTCCGCCGTGGGCACCCGGCCCACCGTCAGGTCCTCTGGGCAGCCGCTGACCTCTGTCTTGATGGAATCGTAGCTCCCAGAGCTGTAGGGGGGCGACTGGAGAGGTGCAGGCCGCGGTCAGGCCAGGAGCCCCCACAGTTCCATCGTCCTCTCCTGCAGGTGGCCAGCGTGGGGACTAGGTGGCGACCAGGCCCCCTCACTTCCTTCACATGTGACAGGAGGGCAGAAGCCAGCCCTCCTGCCTGCCCTCCCCAGCCCATCCGAAGGTAGCCTCTCAGGGGCAGGGACCAGAGGAAGCCTCTCTGCAGGGAGTTGATTGGCTTCGGGTTTTCCTCCCTGACCCCTAAGGGGCTGCATCCTAAAGGTGAGTGTGCTGTGGCCAGAGCGCCTTGCGTGCTGTTGAAGAGGGTAGCTAAGGGGCAGGGACCTCTGCACAGGTCGCTGGGCCTGTGCAGCCCTGGAAGCCCCAGGGCAAGGTGCATAGAAAGGGGAGGATTCCTGCTCTCCAGAGGAGGGTGGGCGAAGCCCCCACGCCCCATCCCGGGCAACTCTGTGTCCTCACAGGCCCTCACTGGCTCAGGCAGGCCCTCTGCCCCAGGGGATGTGTGCACCTTCATCATTCAGGTGCTGACTGGAGGAAGAGTCCTGTGGACACTGTCCCCGCCCTCAGAGGGTCAGCAACTAGCAGGTAAGTTGGGCCAGTCAGCCCTGGGATGGGGCAGTCCCCAGGGGCTCACAGCAAACACTATCCTCTGACCCCAGGGCTTCCTGTATCTTACCCTCTGTCCTCTCTCCCCAGGTCCCTGGCCCCTGGGGTGGGGGTGAGGGCTGGCCCTCCCGCCTCCCGGGTAATTTCATTTTTCCAGGGTGAGGTATTGGCTATGTGGCCCTGGGCAAGCAGTCTTCCCACAGATCAGGGGAGACCAAGGCTGCCTGGGGGTGGGGGTGGGGACACCCCTGCTCCTGTCTTACTCCCTATCCCCAGGACCCTGCCTAGAGGAGCGCTTCCCTCACCGAGCCAGCGCTGGCAGCTCCTAGTCTGACACAAAGAGACAGCCACAGCTTGCAAAGGCAGGTGAGCCCCCAGCCTCTCCTCTCTCCTTGCAGGCCGGGGAGGGGAATGAACTAACCCCGGGAGCAGAAGAGCCCCAGGATCAGTAGGGGGGGGCGGAGGGGGGGGGGGGGGCAGTTTTCCTGTCCTGGTCACCTTCCTCCTCCGTCTCTTCCCGAAGACTTAACTAGAGGGAAGTCTGCCCACCCAGGTCCTGGGGCACTCCCATAGAGGCCTTGCTGTTTCCTGCGCCATCTGTAAAATGGGAACAAACTGTCCTGGCTGGACCCCCTCCAGCCGGTGGGTGGAGGGAGCTGTGAAAGGTGAGGTCTTGGGCATTTTGTGTGGACCTGGGCCACCTGTCCCACGAGCCCAGCTCCCCCCCCCCACCCCCCATGGCCTTGGCCCGGATCCCAAGCCCACTTCACAGATGGGACAGCCACACAGAGGAGTAAGGAAAATGAGGGGCACCCCTGTCTTCGTGTCCCCCTCCCCCCCCCACAGTGCACTGCCCTGCCCTGCCCAGGGGGCGGGTGTGTGTGTGGTCTGTAGTTTCAGTATTTCAGCCCTGAAACAGCGAGGGGCAGGCGGGCACACACCTCTGGGGTGGTCTTCACCCCATACTTGACCCGGCTCCGCAGTCCGTCCGTGCTGCAGCCGTCTGAGGGGTAGGAGGGTGTGGTCCCTGGCGGGAGCTTGTCGCACAGGTTGATGGGCTGGTCCTCGGCGGCGGCCGTGAAGTCCATGGGGGCCACGGCCCCGTTGCCGTTCAGCTCGGGGAAGGCGGGGTCGCCCTGCGTGCTGCTCGAAGCGGATGGGTTCAGGGTGGAGGAGCCATTGCCGCTGCCGCTCTCCGAGGAGGAGTCGTCTGGAAGTAGAGGCGGCCGTCAGGACGCAGCGCTGGCCCCGGGCACGAGGGGGCGAGGCTGCCCGCGCTGGAGCCTCTGGGAGTCTCGCTGAGGGATGCTGGCTTCCTCTGCCAGGATAGCACGGGGTGGGGGTCCCCTCTGTACGCCAAGTCCACAAGGACACCTCCAGCTTCAAAGCGGACCCAACCTGGAGGGCTAAGAGAGTGGCCGCTGCCTCTGCCTGGGGGAGGTTGGGGTGCGGGTGTCTCTGAGCCCGCAGACGCTGCACCCGCCTCCCCGACCAGGGTTGCCCCACCGCCCACCTGCCCCCCGGGACCCAGCCTGCCCATGCTCTCCTTCCTGCGCAGCACTGCCCTAGCCCTTGGCACATTTCTCCCACGGTATTAAGCAGGCCTGGCTGCACGGTGGGCCCTCAGACAGCCGACAGCCG